AAAAAAGAAGACATCACTTCCCGTAGTCGGCAGGATTCGGACCTGCGCGGGGAGACCCCAATGGATTTCTAGTCCATCGCCTTAACCACTCGGCCACAAAAACAAATCATTTCTAAACAAGGCTTAGGTCCTTGTTCACGTGACACTTTTTAGGTTGTTGAAAAAAGAAGACTCGAAGGATTCGAATCAACGCTGAGAGTTGTTTATAAAAGAAGACATCACTTCCCGTTGTCGGCAGGATTTGAACCTGCGCGGGGAAACCCCAATGGATTTCTAGTCCATCGCCTTAACCACTCGGCCACGACAACACATTTTCCTTCATAATGTATCACGTGGATGCTGTTTAGCTTTCTGTAAAATGTAACGAATGAAACAAGGCTTAGGTCCATTGGAGTGGAAAAAAGGGGCTTTCTGAATAAAACATCATTTCGATTCTTTTGTCAAAGACGTAAACAACCCGTGGCACCCTGTAGGTTGTTGAAAAAAGAAGACTCGAAGGATTCGAATCTGCGCTGGGAATTGTAGAAAAAAGAAGACATCACTTCCCGTTGTCGGCAGGATTTGAACCTGCGCGGGGAAACCCCAATGGATTTCAAATCCATCGCCTTAACCACTCGGCCATGACAACACATTATTTCTAAAAAAGGCTTAGGTCCTTTGGAGCATGTGGAAAAAAAGGGGCATTATGAAAAAAACATCATTTTGAGGCTTTGTCGAAGACGTAAACATCCCCTGACACCCTGTAGGTTGTTGAAAAAAGAAGACTCGAAGGATTCGAATCTGCGCTGGGAGTTGTTGAAAAAAGAAGACATCACTACCCGTTGTCGGCAGGATTCGAACCTGCGCGGGGAGACCCCAATGGATTTCTAGTCCATCACCTTAACCACTCGGCCACGACAACACATTTTCCTTCATAATGTATCACGTGGATGCTGTTTAGCTTTCTGTAATATGTAACGAATGAAACAAGGCTTAGTTCCATTGGAGTGTATGGAAAAAAGGGGCTTTCTGAATAAAACATCATTTCAAATCTTTTGTCGACAACAAATCTTCCCATTGTCGGCAGGATTTGAACCTGCGCGGGGAGACCCCAATGGACTTCAAATCCATCGCCTTAACCACTCGGCCACGACAACACATTTTCCTTCATAATGTATCACTTGGATCCTGTTTAGCATTCTGTAATAAGTAACGAATGAAACAAGGCTTAGGTCCATTCGATTGTATGGAAAAATTGGCTTTCTGAATAAAACATGGTTTCGATTCTTTTGTCAAAGACGTAAACATCCCGTGACACCCTGTAGGTTGTTGAAAAAAGAAAACTCGAAGGATTCGAACCTGCGCGGGAAGTCCGAAAAGGATTTAACCTCTTAAGCCCGAGAGTCCCCGGTACCGGGGACTTGCCCCCTTGTGCGTTACATTTTCACTCATAGCTCACGAACCCTGAGAATAACCCACACATATTAAATACTGTTGTGTTCAGCGGAAACTCCTCTAAAAACGTATCTAATTCAATTTCATATCCGTTAACCACAGCTCGAACGCCATGCAAATAAACAACAACATGTCCGGAGTATAATTCATGACCACGTTTTTGTTTATGTGCGATATGTATCCACAATATAAACGGAAACACCCAAACCATTACATTAAATGAAAGCTAACAACCACCTGAATCCAGTGATATGCAACTCATTAACATTGCATGAAGTATTTCAGAGCAGGGAGCGAAAGTTCCACGAAAAAACGCCAGCGAAAACCAAGCAAGCATGTAAATCTTGTCTTACCTTTGCCGTTTTTTTCAACAAAAGTTATTTCCATAGCGATAAAAGTCCGTTTGTTGTTATGTCCGGTCAATAGCTTCGTGCAAACGCCATTTTTGATTGTTTCTTTAGCTTTGTGGCGTCATTACGTCACCAAATATGGAATGACTCCCCGTGCGTAAGAGCACGTCTCTCCACGCTGCGCGTCGTGTGATTCGTCGGCGATCCCGTCAGTCTCAAAATGGTTGAGCTGATTGGTTTCCATAGAATCAGAGCTTTCCGTCGATATATAGATCTTCTGGATTGGACAGATGGTCGGGGGGGTAGGGACACGCGGAAGCTCGGCGTCAAAGCGTTTTGAGTGAAACGTTCCCAAAAGCGCAGCAAGATGGCGTAAATGAGCTTCTACCCCCCTTTTACGGCGTTTCTTTAGGAGTTTTTTTTGCTGAAATCATGTCCCATAAGCAACAAAAGAAGACTATTAGCGTAGCTGAAGCTTTGGACAAGATTTTTTCCATATTTCAATTATTGTGCCAAATTGTGCCAAACTGTGCCAACATGGATTACGCCTGAACTTTGTTCAATCAAAACCTTTACAGAATATTAGTTTCTTGTAGTATGAACACCAAACTTGCTACAGATGTTCTTGACATGTAGTGGTTACAATTGATTGTGTTTATTTGCTTCGTTATAAGTAAAATAAGGAGATATTGGAGGAAACATGTGTTTTTTTTTTAGGCGGAGTTCATTTTTTGGCCATTCCAACATCAATTACTCTTACCCTGTGTTCTTGACTGTCAAATTAACTCATTCACACCACTCCCCAAGAACCTATCTTCATTTTGATACCAAGATTTGCAGTTTAGGCCTTGTAAAAGCTGAGAAATGCCTTAAAAAGTAAAAGTATAGGATTTTCGGAAAATAGGCCTCAGGGCTTAAGAGGTTAAATTTTATCATCCTGAAACAAGGCTTAGGTCCTTTGGAGCGTGTGGAAAAAAGGGGCTTTCTGAATAAAACATCATTTCGATTCTTTTGTCATAGACGTAAACATGCCGTGACACCCTGTAGGTTGTTGAAAAATAAAGACTCGAAGGATTCGAATCTGCGCTGGGAATTGTAGAAAAAAGAAGACGTCACTTCCCGTTGTCGGCAGGATTCGAACCTGCGCGTGGAGACCCCAATGGATTTCTAGTCCATCGCCTTAACCACTCGGCCACAACAACAAATCATTTCTGAACAAGGCTTAGGTCCTTGTTCACGTGACACCTTTTAGGTTGTTGAAAAAAGAAGACTCGAAGGATTCGAATCTGCGCTGAGAGTTGTTTATAAAAGAAGACATCACTTCCTGTTGTCGGCAGGATTTGTACCTGCGCGGGGAAACCCCAATGGATTTCAAATCCATCGCCTTAACCACTCGGCCACGACAACACAGTATTTCTAAACAAGGCTTAGGTCCTTTGGAGCATGTGGAAAAAAAGGGGGGTTCTGAAAAAAACATCATTTTGAGGCTTTTGTCGAAGACGTAAACATCCCGTGACACCCTGTAGGTTGTTGAAAAAAGAAAACTCGAAGGATTCGAACCTGCGCGGGGAGTCCGAAAAGGATTTAAATTTTATCATCCTGAAACAAGGCTTAGGTCCTTTGGAGCGTGTGGAAAAAAGGGGCTTTCTGAATAAAACATCATTTCGATTCTTTTGTCATAGACGTAAACATGCCGTGACACCCTGTAGGTTGTTGAAAAAAGAAGACTCGAAGGATTCGAATCTGCGCTGGGAATTGTAGAAAAAAGAAGACATCACTTCCCGTTGTCAGCAGGATTCGAACCTGCGCGGGGAGACCCCAATGGATTTCTAGTCCATCGCCTTAACCACTCGGCCACGACAACACATTTTCCTTCATAATGTATCACGTGAATGCTGTTTATCTTTCTGTAATAAGTTTCGATTCTTTTGTCAAAGACGTAAACATCCCGTGACACCCTGTAGGTTGTTGAAAAAAGAAGACTCGAAGGATTCGAATCTGCGCTGGGAGTTGTTGAAAAAAGAAGACATCACTTCCCGTTGTCGGCAGGATTCGGACCTGCGCGGGGAGACCCCAATGGATTTCTAGTCCATCGCCTTAACCACTCGGCCACAAAAACAAATCATTTCTAAACAAGGCTTAGGTCCTTGTTCACGTGACACCTTTTAGGTTGTTGAAAAAAGAAGACTCAAAGGATTCGAATCTGCGCTGAGAGTTGTTTATAAAAGAAGACATCACTTCCCGTTGTCGGCAGGATTTGAACCTGCGCGGGGAAACCCCAATGGATTTCAAATCCATCGCCTTAACCACTCGGCCACGACAACACATTATTTATAAAAAAGGCTTAGGTCCTTTGGAGCATGTGGAAAAAAAGGGGCATTATGAAAAAAACATCATTTTGAGGCTTTTGTCGAAGACGTAAACATCCCCTGACACCCTGTAGGTTGTTGAAAAAAGAAGACTCGAAGGATTCAAATCTGCGCTGGGAGTTGTTGAAAAAAGAAGACATCACTACCCGTTGTCGGCAGGATTCAAACCTGCGCGGGGAGACCCCAATGGATTTCTAGTCCATCGCCTTAACCACTCGGCCACGACAACACATTTTCCTTCATAATGTATCACGTGGATGCTGTTTAGCTTTCTGTAATATGTAACGAATGAAACAAGGCTTAGGTCCATTGGAGTGTATGGAAAAAAGGGGCTTTCTGAATAAAACATCATTTCAAATCTTTTGTCGACAACAAATCTTCCCATTGTCGGCAGGATTTGAACCTGCGCGGGTAGCCCCCAATGGACTTCAAATCCATCGCCTTAACCACTCGGCCACGACAACACATTTTCCTTCATAATGTATCACTTGGATCCTGTTTAGCATTCTGTAATAAGTAACGAATGAAACAAGGCTTAGGTCCATTGGAGTGTATGGAAAAATTGGCTTTCTGAATAAAACATGGTTTCGATTCTTTTGTCAAAGACGTAAACATCCCGTGGCACCCTGTAGGTTGTTGAAAAAAGAAGACTCGAAGGATTCGAATCTGCGCTGGGAGTTATTGAAAAAAGAAGACATCACTTACCGTTGTCGGCAGGATTCGGACCTGCGCGGGGAGACCTGGATTTCTAGTCCATCGCCTTAACCACTCGGCCACAACAACAAATTATTTCTAAACAAGGCTTAGGTCCTTGTTCACGTGACACCTTTTAGGTTGTTGAAAAAAG